AGCCTGTGGCACAGCCCGTCTGGCTTTGTGTAAATATTGTAGTTTGTACTTGAATATTGTCAGCAAAATCCTAGGGTTTTATTAGCCTGTTATTTAGCGGCTACCTTTGTTTTTAGACACTCCATACTCCTATAGCACCTAGCTTCAGCTGATGACCTTAGCACAACACCCTATCTTCCAAATATGGTTGTTTCTGGCTCGAATACTGCTCTACATAAATACTGTCAAATTGACGCTTTAAAATGTGAATCAACAATTCTGTAGGTAAGACCACTGTGAAACATCTGTGAGGTCTGTCTTTTGTATACAGTCTATGGTCACCAAGAAACTTGAGTGTATTCCTATTCTTTCCACAGGTATTGCATTTCCCATGAAAAAACAAACAAACACATAAATAACAGAATTTCACCGTGCAAGATTTTTTTTTTTTTATTGAAATACAGATTTTAAAGAAATAGTTTACTTAAAAGGCACTGAATTCACAAAGCTTTTTAAAAGACATGACTCAAGTCAAATGCTGCAGTTTCTCATCAACTAAGCACTAGTTAGGAAGAAAACATAACTCTTCATTGAAGCCCTAGATTTCATCTTTAGTAGATTAGCTTTCAGGGGATTCTGCTGCAACAGAAGGAAAAGACAAGGAGGAGTCACAGAGATTTTACACACAGAATTAGCTCAGTGGAAAGTAAGATCACTGTTTTACTCACTGTGCTAAAAGAGTCAAACCATGGATAGTTTCCTGCCTTATAATTCCTCCTTATCCTTAATCCCTGAAGCCTAAAAAGCTTACTAATTAGCAAACCAGATAATATCTAAGACAGCAAATTTCTATCATGAGCAATTCTCTATTTGATAAGCAATAGAAGCTGTAAGAACGATCTTTTCACAGATTCAGGCTGGACAGCCACTCTTCAGCACATCTGGGGTTGCATGTTTGCTGCCCGGCAGCGCAGGACTTTCAAGAAGCTGTCGATCTTGTGCGAGTCCCGGCGAAAGCAGGACAGCAGTTTGGTAATCTTGTCCTGGCCGATCTCATTGGTCTCTATGAATGGAAGTGAAGTGATGGTCTGAGCAGCTGGACCCATCTGGACACAAACAGAGTCCGGGAAAAATTATTTTCATTTGACTTTATTTTTAAATATTCTTGGTTCAAATAAATGCAAATTCAGAAATTATTGTTTGCAGCCCACACACCTTGCTAGATAGTATATCCAGGCCATCCTTAAGGTCTTTGGAGTGCTCCTGCATCTTCTGGATAGTTTTGGATAAGGTGCTTTGGGCTGAGTACGGGAGGACATTAGTAGAGGAGGACAGGACTACAAGAGGGTCCGACCAAGCCTGCAGGAGGGAGCGAGCCAGGGACAACAGATCTGACTCCTAGAGGAGAAATCCAAACAATAAGGTGAAGGAGATTTTGGGAAAACAGAGGAAAACATGTGTGCATATAATGTCTCAGTGAGATGAAGACACCTTTGTTCTCGTTGGCTTTAAACTACTGTTTGAAGGGGCTCTTGAATAAATTGTGCCTTGTGTGAGCAGAGATGCAGAGATATTGAAGATATCAGAGATATGACATAGCAACAGTGTGACGGAGAGTAGGCAAGGTTGAAGTAAAATGACTTACTGATACTTGAAGTGCTTGTTCCTTGTCAGTGGGGGTCTGTAGAGAGGAGGTGTGGCACGCGTGAACCCTGTCTATAGGGAATACTTCAGAGCCCTGCTGTTTAAGTAAATGGGAAAAAATCAGACAGATTGTTCAGGCTTTAGCATGCTGACTTTTATTGATCACTGATAGCAATACTCTTTTCTGGCATTGTTGTATTATACTCAATTGAAAATAGCATTTGTATTTTATTTTATTCTATTGTATATAGTATTTTTATTTTATTCTATTCTATTCTATTGTGTACAGTTGTGAACAGTATCTTATTCTTATCTTATTCCAGTGTTTTTCTAATTTTTCTATATAACTTTGCACTATCCACTTTTCAGCGCAATTCAATAAAACTTTATTGATCCTGAAGGTCGACCCATGAAGGAAACCTGGTTAAGGCTGCCGACCTTTTGCCAGAGACATCTTACCCTTATGACCATACATATTTTCTGCTGTAACAAAACAAATTTCCCAAGTGTGGGACTAATAAAGGTTATCTTAACTTACCTTATAACCAACAACTGCTTGGCAGGCTTTAATTCAACACAAAGGCTGCTGCTTTTTCAAGAGTTTAACCAAATGTTGTAACTTAGAAAACTGCTAATGAGGCAGCTTCAAGCAGACCCACTGCACTGCATGTCGAGCTAATAAGGAAGCATCGCTGATCAGCGTTTAAACAGGAAGTTTGTGTTTTTTATGTTTAGGGAGACTGTGACATTTTATTTACAGTGCAAACACAGACAGACAGACACACAGACACACACACAGACACACACAGGTACAGACCAGCTCCTGGGTGAGCATCGTGCTGAGCGCGTGCAGTTTGTCAGACTGTTGAGAGGCTCGATAGATGAGGTCGTTGATGGGGACGGCTCTGCACATTGCCACCACACACAACACTGTGAAGCATGAAAAGATGAGCGGAGGCAGAGTTAGAGAAAGCAGCTGCAGGGCCACAGTTTGGTGTCCTTTTGGCTTTTTTCCTTTTATTTAATAAGTACACTCCTCAAGCAGTCTTTCAGCTACATTTATAACCTGTTCTATAAAAGGTCTCATACAAATAGCTGTAAAAGTTTAAAATAAAAGTTTTCATTTATCATTATTATTAGCACTGTCCTCTTAAGGGCTGCCAAACCAACAATAATAGAATTTGAGCAATGCCGTGGCTTTATACTCATAATATTATTAAATCTGGTGCAGTGAATCATAAATAAACAAAAAATAAATGCAGGTTATTTCACATCTTTGTAAATTATTTTTCTAAGATGAATGATTGAAGGAATAATTTTTTATATCATATATATACTACATCTCTGATGTATGGTAACTTTTGTCTTCCAAATCTTTCACATTTAAATGAATATTTGTGCGAGAGATTTCCGAAATGTGGTTGCTAAAGACCAAAACTTTGATTGTGAGCTGGTGAGCAAACTGGTAATATTGGTTCTAACAGTAATTAAGCTAAAATCCTCTTATGGGTAGAATCTCAGGTTTAATGTTTTTCATTTCTTTACATTTTTTGAGCAAGTAAATGATCTGTAGAGCACTGTGAAGCTTTGTATTGGCTGAGCTCTTCTCACCCATCATGAGTTTGCCTCCCCTGATTCTTCTCTGAGCCATCTCTCTTCTTTTGCCGTCCGTCAGCTTCTGGTTCCTCGTCTTCTTGTCACTTTTGCCTTTTGCTCCTTTGTGCCTCCATTTTATAATTTCTTGGCTCCGGTCGTTTGGTTATGCAGCAGCAGGGTGACTCTGTGCTAATTACCAAGAACGTGCTGGAACCAGTTTATAATGAGAAACATGGCAGAGGGGCTTTGAATGGATGCAACAGGACGTAATTGCAGTTTGACAACTCTGTGTGTGTTTGTGTGTGTTTGTGTGTGTTGCATGAAGGTGGAAAACATCCCTCCTTACTCTTAATTGACTGAATAAATAAAAACATTAATGTTCTGTAATAGCACGGTGGCACCTGCAGGTTCACGTGACTGACCAACAGCTTCTCAGGTGTTCTTTTTAGTATTTCAAGTTTCCAGCTTCAACTTTTCTACTCTTTATATTTATTGTTCTTTTAAGTCTGAAATGGTTTTTACAGGTTCTGTTTTTTCTAAAATCCAACTAATTTGAAGATTTGCAGTCAGAGTTCGTCATAGCACAGAAACACTACTGCAGGTTAGTCATGACCTTCTTATGGCTTCTGCTTGTTCTTCTTGGCGTCAGATCAGCGTTCATCAGCATAGCCAGTTGTACTTGTCTATGAAGCCAAATGACACAAATAAACTACCGACATAAAGACCTGGACCTCTAATTAGTTTTCTAATTCTAAATTCAGAAAAACCAAGGTTATTGTACTTTGTATATAAATCTTAGAAAGATGGTGTCAAATAAGATGTTTAGTATTGATGTCATTACCTTGGCCAAAACGGTGACACTGTGAAGATTTTTATTCAGGTGTCATTTAACACTCACATTAAAAACATGTCAGACTGCTATCTTTCATCTCCTACAATTTGGAAAACTGTGTGTTCAAGTTGTGTTTTCTATTCTCAGCTATTAATCAGGTTGTTGTAAAACCTTCTTGAAAAACCTTCAGCTGAAAAGACGACAACAAGAAGCAGAACGGGGACTAGAAAGACGGTTCATGTTTCTCCCATTTTAATTTTTCTTCATTGGCTCACATTTAAGTCAAAAATGGACTTAAAAGAGTAAATGGTTACACTCACTTGTTCCTTAAAGGACTTTTGATAATATAGGAAGGAACAAAATTAAGATTAAGGAGTATGTTCTTTTGGCTCATGAAGAATTCCTACAAATGCACATATATGATGTGGTAACACAATACAAACTGTGCCAACAACAAACAAAAGACAACAGACTGTGCAAAATGTTAACCCCACCCCCACTCAAGGCGTAGTCGATAATCTGCAAGCTGGGATGGTCTGGGATAGACCGATGACTGTAGTACTGATCCACATTCATTGGTTCAAATACTCACCTGACACGTCTGCTTGAACTGAAAGCTGTTTCAAAATGGTTTCATACTGAAGTCTTAATATAAAGTCGAACTTGCACTAACTGCTGAATTTAAACACACCAGTTTAAGTCTTTGATGATTTTGCGGTTAATTTCAATTAAACTACAAAAGGGGAAACATTATTTTATTTTTAATTTTAAGAAATAAAAACTATTCCATTTGTGAAACTGAGAAAAAAACCCCGAGGGTTTTGAAGATATGTGAGTGCCAGTGTTTTTATAGAAAAGTGCAAACTTGATGTAATCAGAATAAGAAAATGGGGCGTTCAAGACTCTAATGTGACAAAATGTATTACTATCTTAGTTGACAAAATAATTTTGGTCAGTGTTGATGTCCTTCGATAAAAGTTTGTTGACTGATTAGTTGGGCTTTAACATGATAAACAGACAGTTGGTTACATAATGGAACAAATGAGGTGTTATTGCTGAAAACGGGCCTCTGTACACGTGTAGATGTTTCATTAAACCCCATCCATGATTCATGATCAAAGTTACTGTTAAACATTCATATTTTTACATTTCTGACTAATTTGCTGTTACTAATGTTACATCCTCCCAATTCTTTCGATCTTTGGGCTGAAGGAAGGACAATACTCGGTGTATCAATGCTCAATCAACAATCTTTAATACCATACAATTCAACACTTTATGAGCATAAACCATCCGGATGGGGAGACATGCATGCAGAGGGTCACAGCAAATCTCAAACTGGTGGAGGGTTACTCAAAGTCTTATAGCCTCTAGTGGCCCACACCTAGTCGTAAAAGCCTAAACATTCACATTCTTTCTCTCACACAGCGCCTAAGTTATGACCTCGGCTCCTTGTTTTTCTGCTCCCAACAAGGTGGTGGGGTGAACCTCCTGTGGAATGTGCTCTGTCTCCTCTGCTATCAGAGCACCAAGGCCCTGACTCTCTGCACACAATATTCTCTTCTTAACTCAGCAGTATAATGCATCATAAAACAATATCATCCATTCACAATAAATCAGCAGTCTAATGTAACGCAAATCAGTTTAACAAATGCAAGAGTTATCACCTTCTTCTAATTCAGGAGAATAATGCAAACTAAAACTACATAATAATTTCACAATATATAACATATAACATGGCATAAGATAATATTATAATCCCACACTAAACATCAAACAGGATTTACACGTTTTCAGAAAACAACACATTTTAAATTCTCTCCACACTTCTGAGCTGTAGTGTAGATTTGTAGATCTATTATAGAAGATGATATAGAAGTATGAGGACAGGGAGACACTGTTAAAACGTTATGAGCTGTCTTGCTGCAGAGAAAGTGGAGTCTGTCATCCTTGAAATGCTCCCTAGATAGGCAGCTGGCAGGACTGAACGATGCTCTGCCTCTGTGGTCAAGTACAGACATCCATGAGCCACTGATGAGCGTGACAGATCAGGAAGCATGCATGAAGTGGACGTATTAGGGAGAGTTTGCCATCAGAGTTAAAACACTTCAACTCAGTTTTTGATGATAGACACAACTAAAAATCCTGATCAGTTACAGACACACGTACACATGAAAAAGTTCGGAGTCAGCTTGTTTGGATCCCTGCACTCTTCTGTGACAGTGTGTGAGTGTGCCTTCAGACAGCCTGCAGTACCTCTGCCCCGTCTCCTGGAGCCCACAGTGTTTATCCTGGATTCATAACTATCTGCAAATAAACCTGTGAAACTTGACCACAGTGTCTCATGATCACTCCTAACACTACACTTATGTAGATATTTCACTAAATCTCATTCGTTACTTATGATAAATGTTACCAGTGATTGTTTATATTTCTTTACATTTCCAATAATTTAGTAAAACATTAAAGAGAATTTCACTGTTGTGAGAAAATAAGACGTTTCTAATTCACTTCAGACTTTTGAGCTGTAGTGTAGATTGCAATGTCACGGTCCTGGGTCGGTGACCCAGCGTTTTCTGTTTTGTATTGTTAATCTTTGATTTCTTGATGTCTTTGTTTGTTCGTAGGTTTTGGTTCTGTGTCAGTATCGGATCTGAGTTTTCCAGGTGTCCCTTTTAGTTCAGTGTCAAGTCTGTGTCTTGAGAATTGTCTCTTGTTTCCTGTTTTACTTTGAAGGTTCATGTCTGATGTCAGTGTATTCAGTTTTGCTTCCCCTGTCTCGTCTTGTCAATTACTCCCAGCTGTGTTCCCCACCTGTTTGTAATCTCCCTGTGTTCTTTTGTGTGTATGTAAGTCATGTCTACTCGTGTACTAGTTGCTGGTCTGTGTGTGAGTCAACTGTGAACCTACTGTGTATTCTCCGTGTGTTTTCCCTGCCGTCCACCTTCCTGTGCCTCTGCTCACCCTCCCTCATGTTCGTGCTCATGTTTGCTGTTTAGTTTTTCCCAGTTCAGATTATCTTTAGTTCCGTTTTGCCATTTTTCACCTTGTGCTTTATTTTACAATAAACCACCTTCACATCTCAGCGAGTGCCTGCACTTGGATCCTCATTTATTTTCTCCACACGGCTCATCCCATGTGACAGTGTATGGTTATGATTTAGGAGTACCAGGACAGGGAGCCACTGTTAAAAAGTCATGAGCTGTGTTGCTGCAGAGAAAGTTGTTCACTCTGGTGGTTCTTTGAGTTTCTAAAAGTTGAATGGGATGTAGTCTGCCCCTCTGTGGAACCAGGTCCCAGTTTGAATTCAGAACACAGACACTCTCTTCTTCTAAGATTAGACACAAAACTTTCTTCTTTAATAAATATTTATTTATAGTTACAGATCAATCAGCTGTCCGTGACCCATCCTTACAGGCTACAACTGCTGGTTAACCTGCCATCATGCACTGAGCACTTCTGCTCCACTCTTGTCTTTCCCTCTGAGTGAGTTAAAATATCGCGACTGCATCTCAGTAACATTTTTCTGTGCTCTCCCATCAGGTGTCAGGTTTCTTCCTGTTAAAAGGGAGTTTTTCCTCCTCACTGTCCCCAAGTGTTTGGTCTGAGAGGATTGTTTGATCTATTACTATAGGGTTTTTACTTTATAATATAAGACAATTGTTAGTGGTGCTATGTAAATCAAATGGACTAAAATTCAACTTGAATGTGACTCCTAATCAAACCTAAAGTCATCCCAACCAATGTGAACATTCAGCACAATAAAATACGATGAAATCAACCACGCTGGCTACATAGAAGCAAAAGCAGCAGCTTCTTCCTGAGGTCCTCCTCAGCTCCAAACCCACCAGTGGAGGCGCTGTTTAACAACCAGCAGCTGTTATACTTAGTTTATAATTTAATAATTTCATTATATGAAAATAAACTGTTTGAAAATAAGCATTTTAAAAAAGATTGTTTCATTGTTGATTGTTTCATTGTATGGTTTATTCTTTATGTATGTAAGTTCTTAAACTGCATACATGTATATATGAATGACTCACTCATATGCTGACATGTTAGCGTACTGAGAGCCTATTTCTCATATGGACACATTACACTTTTACGTTTCCTCACCTCATACATCATCTAATACAATGCTAATATTTTGTGAAGCAATGATGAATTTATTTCTTTATTCTATATAACTAGAAAAACATTAGAAAATCCAAGGAGCTGGTGGT